TTCTTTATCTGCGCCCACTGGCTGTCTGTGCATGCGTTGTCTGCGAGAGAGGCGGGCGCCTCTTGTCGGGGTGGGCTGCATGTGCTTTCGTGCCTGCATGGAGTGGGGGCAGGTCGAGGAGGAACGGTTAAAAAGCGACATTTCTCCCAGTGACTTTGGGAGGAGGGTGACGGACCGGCGCTGTCGCTGCCGCTGCCAGTGCCACTGCCACTGCCACTACTGCTTTTGCTATCATTCCGTTACGCCTGGTCGCTTCAGCAACTGGGCATGGGTCACCTCGGGCCAAGGCGACTGGGGGTTTGGGCCGACTTGTATCGACTGTCCGATGGACACATCTGCCGCCGAGTCGGAGGGAGGGTCGGAGGCTGGAGACGAAGTGAAGACCGGCAAGACAACCGACTGAGCTACAGTGTCGGTGTATCCATGACTGCAATGCTTGGCGCTGACGGCTGAGCCACGTCTCGACGACGCGACGCCCGGTCTACAGGCGTAGAGGGGCTCGAGCAAAAGGACACAGAGGGTGGGCACTAAGCAGAAGTCGGACGAGTTGGTCGACGAGCGCTGTCAGATGCCGTCTTTCAGGCTGCCAGCATCACTTAGCAGCAGCAACATCCCCAGCCTCGGCCGACTGCATCGGTCCGTCGGTCGGTGTCATGTCGCCCCACAGAGTCCAGTTGTGCGGGACAAAGGTGGCGAGAAGAGGGAGAGGAAGAGAGGGGGGCATCAGGACGGACGGGCATTGTATACACACGTGCGCATGTTAGTCGGGCATTTGGAGACTTGCGCCATGCCTCGAGTCCCGGACGCATCTCTGCAGGGCGTCTCGAGACTACAGCTGCAGCCGACTCTTGGTACGTGAGTCTCCAGCCTAAGAAGGCCTCTTCGCCGCAAGTCTTTGCGACAAATTGCATTTAGCCCTCCTTCAAGTTCAACCTCTATTTGTAGATACGAAGAAAAACTGGGTTTCGATGAATCCCCTCAGATAATATTGTTAGAGGGACCTTCATTTGGTATGAAAGTGGTGCATGAAGAAGAGATTCGTTGGTCGATCTCACCGGATGAGGACGGATGAAACTCGTTGTACTACAGCCGGTTGGATTGTATAGGATATTCATGTTGACGCAGTC